CCCATCATGTTGTGTGTGGCTGCGTCATGCTGAGTCCACAGTGAATCTGATCGAGCTCTCCTCTGCACGGGGCACCTTCAGGTCAGTCCAGGCCATGCCTTTCAACGGCGGACATTCAGGGAAACAAAATGCCACATGCTCCAGTTCTCAAAAGCCGTCCCAAAAAGTATTGTGACTTGACTTGACCCACTCCTGTATCTTCACACTCCTACTCCTACTCCTGTTTGATTGTTTCTACTGACCGCAGGTGGCTTCCAGTCGGGATTTGGGCTGCTGGCTTTAATAACTTTGCAAGGCTTCAGGGGCGGCCCCGACTCCAAAAACCAAGGCCGCACCTGTGAATTCGGGCCTTTCCAGTGCCGGGGATGTGCCATCATCCACGACGATGATCTCGATCAAAAGATCGCCCGCTGATTCCATCAACGCCTTGAGAGTGCAACACGGCGTACACCGACACGCAGGGCGTGCGCATGCGAAGAAGTGCAGTCAGTTGTGTGTGTGTGTGTGTTTGTGGGCACCTTGGAGTCACAGGTTGCCTTTTGGCATCTTATCGAAAGTTTTCAGCAAGGGAACACAGCATTTCGCTGGGACAGTTTGGCCAGCTGGACGTACCTACTTTGAAAACAAGTGTGACGCTTTGTAACCACGTCCGCCTCGAGACATACGTAGGCTGGTCAGGTAGGATCAGGTCTGCACTGCACACACGCACTTTTGGGACTTTGGCTTTCCAGAACTTGAGACTTGCAACTTGAGACTTCGTACTTTCGGGTCTTGAAGGTTTCATGGCCGGACTCCCAACACCTGGCTTCTTAGTCTTAGGCGTTTTTCACTTAGGTTGGCGTGTGGCATGTGGCATTCATATTGTACGTACTTTATCCCGAGCGTGTCTCTCCTCGCGAGGGCCCGGAGTGAGCCAGAAGCAATGCTCTCCGTGGTCCTGGTCAAACCAGGAGTCGTCGCATCCACCCGGCCGGAGTGGAACGTGCCCAAAGCGGGCTTAAGAGTCTTAGGACATGTGTTTGTTGATCAAGAGCAGTCAACAGGGAATTCATGGAGCAGGCCGTATGGCGTAGGTGCCAGTCCTTTCTGGACACAGCTCAAGTTGGCGACAGCGGCCATGCGTTCAAGTCGGATCATTGGATTCCTGCCCGGGCCTTAACTATGTGCCCGGTGTGCCCACAAACTAAAATAGTCAAGGTGCCCCAAGCTTTGACTATGAGTCTGAGGTTCGGTTTCTTTTTTGCTTTGTTTGTCCCCATTCACCTGGCTTCCCTCTTTCTTTGCAACTACACTTACACACCGGTCTTCCTTTTCTTTCGTGTCTTATCCGTCTTCATGTCTTGTCGTTTCACGCCCTTTCTCTTGCACGCACACTTGCTCTGACCCTAGCGTGTACGTGCACATTCACACGCAATCTAGGCTTTCAGGTGCCCCAGGTTTCAAAATAATAGAGACGTGACTCGCTGGTTGTTCATGTTCACTCGGCTTTCCGTCATTGCAACTTGTCACACCTTGGTCCCGTTCATGTCCCTCCTTTCATGTCTTTTCATTCGCTCTTGTCTGCGCACATGTGGTTTCACATTTACCTTTCCGGGCAGGATGGTGGTCGTCTGCCACCTTGCTGGGCAGGATGGTGGCCGCATCACTCCCCTCACGCAGGTGGACCGAAGTTTTCACTCGTCTAACAAAGCTACCAGTGAAATGGGATATCCAGTTTGGCCAGCTGGGCAAACCTGCCTTTTGAAGCAAATGTGACGTTTTGTAACCACGTCCTCCTCTAGACTTCAGGCTGGTTAGGTGGGATCAGGTCTGCATGTAGATGTGCTTAAATAGCTCAACAAATTGAGCTCAGAAAGGCTGAGTAGCACAGGAGCTTTCATCACCCAGCCGCCCTTAGCCGCCCGGTGCCCTCCTCGCCTCAATGCTCTTCTGGAGCAACACCCCCTTCTCACCACAGGGCGCAGGTGCCAGTCGGCCGCCGGGCACTGCAATAATCTTGGTGGTTGTGGATGGGTCTTTGCAAGAGTCTTTGGGTTGCTACATCCAGCATCTCAATGCTGGGAGGGCCTAACGTGAATGTCTCAATGAACAGGCTTGCTTTACGTACTTACGGTCTAAAAGATCACAGAATGTCCCAGAAGCTAGCAGGAGGTTGAGGTGACAGTGATTGCTGACGGTTGCTGACAAAGACAAGCGCTGGATGCTAACTCCTTGGAATGACGGGGCACTGCTGACAGGCCTTTCCGCTCCGCGTTCCCCAAGCGGTGAGGGAAAGCCGCAGCCTCTACACAAGGCTGCCGAAAAGATCTGAAAAGCCCTGGATGCCATGCTGTGAGTGTCTTGAAGGGGAAAGCTGTATGTCGGATATACATGGATATACATATCATATGTGTGTGTGTGTGTTCGCGTGTCTCTCTCAAGGATTTGGTGGAGCATTTGTCAAAAGCGTGATCAGTTTGGGAACTGCTGTCCGACTAGCATGGCAATGGCATGGCAAACTGTGCCAGCAGACCTGCCTGATCGTAGCCAGCATTGTGCAAAACCTCAAGTGCGTTTTGCCAATCTTCAAAACTGGCCGAAGCTCAAGCCGATTTCTTGCCGTGAGTGCGTGCATGTGTGCGTGCGTTTGGTCGTTGTGTTCATTTGTGTGTCCAGAAGCCGCAGAACGAACGCCCTGTTTTCGGTCATGAGCATGTTGTGGTCTAGTTGAAGCTCTAACGTCTCAGGCCGAGCGGCGATGATCAGTGTACATGAAATACTGGTAAGCAAGAGCAAAATACCAACCTGCATTGCGGCCAAATCTGGGCCTGACTCATCTATTTGATAATGGAGAGCTGAAGCAAAGAAGAAATAGGATCTCTTAGACCAGTCAAAACCGGATGAGCCGCCAGCTCAATGCTCAGTGAACTGGTCGCAAAGAAAGCTAGCATCAGCTTCCCTGGACTACAAGTGACTACAAGCTCTTACGCACAAAATGCTGTCCATGCCAAGTTGCTGTCCATGCTACTTTGTCACTGGTCTTGCGCCGCTTGGCCATTGCACCATGATGATATCATGCAAGCTCTTGAACTACCGTGCGCCTCTTTGGTTCCTCTGCCCCCGCACACCAAAAGAAATAGCATCAACGGGTGTTTGTCCCACAAGGCCAAGTAAGTACAACCTTTTGTTTGTGTGCAGGCATATGAGAATATATATGTGTGTGCAGTGTATATATATACACACCGTATATATCTGTGTGTGTGTGCGCGTTAACAATTCAAGAAGCCACACTGTTGATGGTGATGATCATGTCGATGAGCAGTGGGGATCGCTAGTGTAGCTTTTCCAAAGTGTTGGATTTGTTGTTGAGTTTGGAATGGAGCCATATCTTTGTCTTCTGCTCATATCCTTGTTTCAGTTGGGTGAACGGCCAGTGGGGCTACAGCCTTGAGCAAGTTTTATGCCAACGGTCCAAGAGCACACGAAAGCTTTTCACCATTGAATCCTGAGCTTTGATAGTCAGGCAGGATCCTTCAACAATAAGAGGCCACTCCAAGCATCCAAGCAAATGTTACACTGCAACCATTGACAGCAAAGGCCCATGCTTTAAAGCAAAGTCTCCACGACCGTCAACCAGACCTCATCCAACCTCACAGGCCTGACTAAAAGTCTCGTCAGGTTCCTGCTAAGAAACTTCCCAACTTAGGGGAAGCAACCAAGTCACTCAAGCTCCACCATCCCGAGCTTTTTCAGACAAGGCCTCCCCATCCTTTGAACTGACCATCTTGATCAGCTTGCAGGTCTTGCGACATGCACGGGACCAGGGAGCCGAAAGAACGAGCTTCCATGACGTTCATGAACCTTCCTCAAGGGGCCATGAGTACGGGCTTCTGCCTTTGGGCTCGCTGCACCAACCGCTTCACCCCATGTTTCCCGTTACAACCCCGCTCCATGAATTCGATATCTTTTTTGAGTGAGGAAATCTCAACCTCACCAGGGCTTCAAACAGCTTGCATGCTCATGTGCTTTCACACGGCAGTAAGGTGCAAGAGCTTCCAGCTGCTAAGCTGTCCATGTTCCAAATCCTGGTCTTTGGGCTTTGAGGCTGCCCCCAGTACAGAATTGGTGTTGTGCGATTGCTCCTGAACCTTGAACTACACACCTGGTTCCCAGGAGGTCTAAAACCAGCGTCCTGGGAGAGAAGCGAGTGAAGCCCTCTTGCTGAGGCAAATTCAAGCGTGTTTGAAATCCGAATGGCATGAACTCTTCCATTGTTTGCCATAACATTCTTTGGTTAGGAGTTTGGAGCTGAGGTCCTAGGTTCACTCTGCGAACACCTCGCACCACCACCCTGTCAGAATCGTGGAGGGACAGGCCTCAAGGCAACGAGTAAGGCCGGCATATAGTATATATAGAATAGTTATATATATATATATATACACTATACATGTGTATATATATATGTGGTCTTTTCACCCGTGTTCACCATACGCATGTGCTACATTTGCATGACAAAGTCCTCACTGGCTTGCGGCCCTGGCCGTCGTGGTGTGAGGCCACCAGCCGCTCGGAGGCTCTCGCTCTTCCTTCGTACGAGCAAAGCGCGTCCGGAAACCGGATGGCCCAGGCATCACGGATTGTCCGTTCATCCTCGTAGTCTTTGTCCCAGTCCCACGTTGAGGTGGTTGTCATTGCACCACCCCGCCTTCCACAGATCATGCGCTCCGCTATGCTCCGCTTTTGGTCCCCCTTGTCACACCCCGGCACAGCCCCATGGACGGCCCTTCTGCCAAGTGGCCCAAAGCGGCTCATGTCAGGCATCTGGGTCCCTCCACCGTGCCTCTGAGCACGTGAAATCATTAAACGACTCAAAAACGCGTGCGACTCCGACAGTCGACCATTGGGTTCGGGTGGGCTCTGTGAGGGGCAGAAAGTCCTCCAATCCATGTGAAGTCCCAGGTAAAGGCAAACAGAAGTACTGCATCATCTGCACAAGCAAACCACCGCCAGGATGCGAGTGATCAATCTGCTTCCGAGCTTTGCCGGTTCCTGGCCATGTGATTTCAGGGCGTCTATTGTTTATCCTGGATTGAAACTTCAACCCCTGGTTTCTGCTTTCTATACATCACGGTCTGTTGTCCAGAACCCCATTGAGGACTCTTGACTTAGGGGTAGCATCAGGCTCTATTCATCCATGGCAAAACAGGAGTGGCCATCAGCCCCCGAAAAACGGATCAGATTCTGATCAGATTATTGTAGCTGCATGGCGCAAGGCAAAATCATCTCTTGCAGCCCTGTAATTTTGCATGAGAACCGATGTTGCGTTGTTTGAGGTCAATGCACAGCTGCCTTGGGCAGATTTCATCTGTGATTGTACGCCAAAAAAGGCGAGGGTGAAAGTGAAACTCTTGGTCACGAACGAAAGCACTGTACAGTGCCCCGCACTACTGCACTGCACAGCATGCTAGCTAAGAACACCTATATATTCGCACGTGCATCAAGCTGTTGGCTCCTTTGGAGTTCTGTTAATCAATTCTTCCTGAAAAAGTCTGTACATCGAACCTTAGCCCAACTGAAATAAATCTCTTCCTGCTCTTTGTCAACCTCTCAGTGGTTTAAAATGTTTAAGGAAAAGGGCTCTTTCCATGCAAAACACAAGGCCCGGTCAACAGGTGCATACACATTTCCTAGTCAAGCCACGTACCAGGTTTGGGGGGCTCCAGGTCTTGCCGGCTCATCCTCGGTCAATGCAGATTTTGGGTTTTGCTAGCGATGAGTCAAAATATGTCGAAACGCTGTGAAAGTCAGGCAAGCATCCGAATGAACTCGAGCTCTTGACTTCGAACTACTGATTTGACTCGGCTGTCTTCGCTGGGAGGCTTTGCGGCGTGATGGAACCTGAAGAGCCGTTCCGGTCATGTTGGAACATGCCCATCTAAGGGGAATTAAGGGGCTCAGTAATTATAGGCCATTATATATACTGTAGACTGTTATAGTTATAGACCACACATTCTGAAGCAGCATGAAGAAGCTTCGGAGGTGTGAGGAGCCCCTTGCTGCATCGCCCAGCAATGCTTCGAGGTACAAGTTGGCAGCGATCTGCTTCACCTTGCTTTGCTGAGCCATTTCCCCGAAGGTGGAGCGGATCAACTCCTCTGCGGTGCTTCAAGAACACACGGCACCCTGAAAACTGAAAACAAAATACGTCGAAATACCATGTCAGTCTCTCCACCGGGATGGACTTCAGCCTGCTGAGCATAGGCATTTATATGTATAGATATATACATTTTGCATTTATGACATGCAAAAATTAAAAAAAAAATGATATATATATATGTATGTATATAATCATATATATATATATAGACAGTATGTGTGACAGCTCCTCCGCTTCTTCCACAGACTTGGGCATCTGGGCAGCCGAAAGCATCGACGGGACCTTCTCCCGTTTGCTGGCTTCCAAAAATGCAGCATGGCCCAGAGCTTGTCCGCCATGAGGTCCTTAGCCCAGCTGACCTTCTCCAATTCTGTGAGAAAGATTATGAATTGTAAACTGTTTCCCACGGGGTTCGCCAAACATCGCAAGACACTCGCACATGGATTCGCCCTGGTCCGAGGCGCCGGGTGCCTCGTTTTGCTCCAAATGCTCATGCATCCACTTAGGCAAGCGCATTTCTCGGATCAGCTTTTGCTTTTCGGGCGGACGCACCCCCAGCGTGGGCAAAGGCAAAATGCCACACTCGGCAGGTCTGCAAAGATCCATGGCCTTCAGCACCTGCCAACTCAAGGAGTCGGCATTTAGAACACACTAGTCACGGTCTTGCAGTTAGGTGCTGAAATGTCGTGGGCAAATCTATAAGCTTCAATCATCGGGGGGATTTTGGAAAAATCGGGGCCTATGTTCCTACAAAGAGCTTTCAAAAGGTCAAGGAGCATAGGCTCTGAACTTTTCAATGTCCTCAGTGGCAGGGAGGGTCATCAACAGGCGAGCTCACCACAAGTTAAACACTTGTAACTTGCAACGGCCAAAATCAGCATAATCAATATATATATATACATATGTGTGTGTGGAAAGCAGTAAAAACACGAGTCAGTATAATGTTCAAATGTAGACATGTAGAAGTACACTTTAGAAGATACTGTGCAGTATACTACATACATTAGCTTAATCTGTGTGGAAAGCAGTCTACCAACCCACTTAAGGTGTCCAATATGATGTACAAAGCTTTTCGAAAGCCCAGTGTCATCCTTGAAGCCTGGACTGGAGTTCTCGACGATCATGAACTGCTCATTCATCGTAAATCGATGCTGCTGTATTGGCCCCAAACTTCTGCCAGCATGACGCTGCATCAGCTCCAGGATGTTGGTCACCTCATCTCACACCCAAAATGAACGGAATGGGCCACCGATGTCAACTTTCACGTGATTTTGTTGGGTTGTGACCCACAGCCCAAAAACACACAAACAAAAGAACGATCTGTCCCCTGTCAGCCAGTGGCCTTCTTGAAGCGGAAGAAGTCCTCAGAAACTCCACGGTTTGGACCGCCCGGGACAGGGCGGTTTGGACCATGTGGCAGTTAAGTTATGATGTAATGAGACATGAGACATCATGAGACCGAATCTCAAAGATCTCACTTTCCTCCATGTTGAGGTCGTGAAGCTGTGGCATTCCATAAGTTATCTCCCATCTCTCTCAGGCGTTGTCTCAGAATCCTTCCTAAAAGTGTCAAAACCTGGGGAGCTTGTTGCGCTCAATCTGGCTGTATAGAACTCATGTGGCCAGTTGTTGCTTGTTGATGCCAGCAAGCGTCGATGGAGATCTTGCGGTTGTACACCTTCACAGTGTCGTAGTCCGACCTTCATCATCAGTTCGCTTCATCATGCTACTTCATGTCAGAATCTTCGAAGGCCCTTTAGCAGCTCATCTACAAGTTCCTGTGGCTCGTTATACATTTCGAGAACGAACAGGGTAGCCACGAACGTAGATATCACAAAGTGCAGCAAGTTATGTAAGTTCTAGGTGGGTCCCCCACTCTTTCATGCGGTTGGGTAGCAGGTTGCGGAATATCTTCAGGACTCCAGTTAAAGAAGCAAGCTGGATTGCAGCACAAGTCTCCAAAACCTGAGTGAAGGTAGCGACTGCTGCAAAGACCTCTGGAGGTGCATGCAGGGATTCACCAGCTGGCTGAATCTATAACATAGCTCAATAAAGTCCTGGGCAACCAGGCAGCTCATGCGTGAGCTGCCACACTCTGCCCAGCAGTCGTGAAGATGTGCGCATGGTGTTAGACTCGGAAGAGGTTTGCAACTGGCTTGTGTGGCCTGGTTGTGTGAGACATGTGGATAGAACCTGGCAAATGACTTCCAATATCATTTTGGTTGCTGCTCAGGAGTGATGTTCGCGCGAAACCCGTTTCTAACACAGGTCCTGCATTCGATACTTGGCTAAGGGCAGCTTCGCAAAGTCAATGGTGTTCGTGTTGAAGGCAGCCACTGGACAAGTGTAGTAATCATCATAGAACTCCTCCAGTTGACTACTGGTGAGGTAGTGTACTGTCCAGCTCTTCATCTCCTTGCACACCACATAGAACATCACTTGGCATAGCTCCAGCTTGGACAATGCGCAAAACTGCATGGTGACATACAGGAAACCATCCCAAGTCACCGTATCCTGGAAAGGTTGGCTAGGATATCCACCCAGCAGGACGGTGATGTGAAAGGCCAGTCACACCGTGCTTTTGTGTGACACAAGCTAAGTTGCCAATTTTGTGCTAGTTTAGGACAATTCTACCCTAACATCAGAAATCTATACAGTAGATATTAATACGCTCTCCAACGCCGTTCTGCTCCCACCTTGAAGCCTGCCAAGTCCAGGAGCAAAATCATAATCTTCGCCACCCACTTCCTGTGGTTCTTCACCAGCCTGGTCATACTTGCGGTGCTCACCTCGTTGGGCCCCACCCGAAGCGTGATGGAGTCATACTGCTTCAGCCGCTTGAAGATCTTGTGGAATTGCATGACCAAGCCTTAGGAACCGTCAAAATGATTGTTCAGAACCTAGAACCGAGTGTGCAAAGTGAGTTGCAGCGCGTCCGTGCTCTGATTGAATGTTTTTGGGGGAAAGCCTGAGCCGACGTTCAGACGCAAAACGGACTAGATGATAACATTGCTCATTTGCGGTACTGTATGTTCTTGGCAAAATGTGGGGCCGGTCTTGGCAATCCGTACATCAAACAGCAAGGCTAGAGCTCAAGCAAGAAGCGCGGCGTAATCTTCATGTCCTCCAGGCCAGCCCACCCCAAGAAAAAGCAATACTCAATGTACACAGTGGTTGTGGCTCAAGTTGCAAGAATTCTCTCAAAACATTCCCCTGACGTCCCAAGGTACCCCTCTACACACGCTACAAGTCCGTGTAAGCTGGCATCCATGGCTCAAACATTGGAAATCAGCTTGGGTCGCTCAGCCTGAAGCAGCTCGACGACCTCTGTGGCAGGCTCTGGTGGCTTCGAGGAAGAAAACTTCCTGGTGAATGGAGCGTGGAAAGCATGAACTCATTTCCTTTTTTTAGCCCGGTAGGCCTGCCTCCTACTACCTAATTAAGTACGTACCTGCTTAATGAGAAGTTCACTCCTATATAGCTACTTATGCTACTACCTAGGGCGAAGAATAGCTCACGCTCGCACGAATGATTTGAGTCCTAAATTTTTCGAGGAAACTTCAGCATCTAGGTGCGTTTCTATTCCTTCTCTTGTTTGAACGTTGAATGCTCGCTTTTTCTGAGATGATCGGTGCTCAAAGCCCAAAGCCTGGGGCCTGTGGTCTAGCAGTCTCGAGACAAAGTGTCAGGCGATGATGCTGCCGTTCCTACTCCAAGACATGCCAAGCTTCCCCAAGCAGGCACGGACTGCCGTCACAAGCTTGGCGGCTGTGGCCAACAACACCTGGTCAAAGAGGACAGCGTGGAGAATGGCTACTTACTTACTGACTGACTGACTGACTGACTGACTGACTTACTTACTTACTTACTTCGTTGCTTGCTTGCATGCTTGCTTGCTTACTTACTTATTCTTGACACCAATTGGTGTAGCTGGACAGGAGTAAGTGGACAGTATCTCCATTGGTTCCTCTTTCCTTCCTCCTCGTCCGCTTTGATTGAGTGTGTTTGTCTTATCGCTGCTCTGACTGTAGCTTGGATTGATGGAGTTGAGGGAGTGCAGCGAGCGCAAAAATATCCGGGCAGAAGCGGGCGTGAGGGTGGAATCAAAAGACTTCGCCAACCGCATGCTGAGACACTCCTTCCTCCTCATCACCAGGGCCACGCTTGCCTTTTCCCATCACTGCAAACCGGTCCTCCAAAGACCGGTGGCCCCCCGCTCAGGCCACGCCACGACTCTCAACGCGACATGAGCTGGTACCATGGCCATTGCCAAACTGTTTGATTGATCCAACAGCCGCAGGATGCAATGCAATACGATGCACCTCTCATCAGCCGCGTCCATGCGCATGTCGAATGTCAACAATGAGAACCACCCCCACTGATGGGTAGGCCTCTCGGTGGCTTCATGAAGCTCACCTTGGCTCCCGGATGCCGAGCCCACCATGAAAGCAACATGTGGGTCCGACTTTAAACCTAGAGCTGAGACTGTGTCCCACATGCATGTGACAAGACTGTAAAGTTTGCACAGGAGAGCCCCCTAGCATCACGTTGGATTTGGGGCTTCGGCCACAAACGCACGATATGCTATATATATATATGTGTGTGTGTGTTTATTTACAGCATATACACACCGCTACAAAAATGTTATATTTACGTATAGGTGTATATATATATGTATATATGAGATGTAATGTACATTAATGTACGTATTTCTCTGCAGGTGCCTGTCCTAACTCACTGCTGTTCTCAATTTGTACAGGCTGTCGCTTGTCTCATTCTGACGAGGCTCTGAAAAGCACAGGTCCTGCTCGAAGGTGGTATCTCTGAAGGCCCTGAGTACAAGCTGCCGGCGGGGAGACTTAAGTCAAGTGAGCTAGGTGGGCTAAGCTAGCAACATTTATCATAAGCTTCTGGCAGTTCAGCACGAATGGACAATTGGACAACCTTTTTTGCTGTCTTGATCAGTTCAGTCTATGAACAATTGGCCGCCAACAGTTGTTGTTCGCGAGTCTGGCGCTTTCGAATTCGCTGGTGCATCTCTCTCATGTTTTTTTCGTGAGACATCTGTGATGCATCCCCTGCGAGGCGTCCATACAAGTACTCCGGCAGCTTCGCCAATTGCGCCAAAACACTAGCTTGGCAGCGAAGCTCTAGCTGTCTTGCACTGCAAGTATTGCGAATGTCACTTAGGACTCAATGCTCGATGGGTGTTTCCCAATGCCAGAGTTGTGAGCCCCCTCTCTCCAACATCCAGGTTCAGGAGTACTGTCGCAAATGGAGATTGGGTAAGGCTAGGCTAGATTCAACAGCAAAAGTATGTCGATGCTTGTTGTGGAAACACCCATGGCTTCCTGGCAGTTTGCAAGTGGGGCTGTGCTAACGATGGAGCGTTGCAACATGAGGAATATCAAAGACTATAAGCCCTGTGACAATGGTAATCTTTGATCAAGCTCTACTCACCAAGCCCCTTGCATTGATGGTCCGAGATGCGAATCTCACAAAGGAGGCGCACAAAAATCTGAGCAGTTGCTTCCAGCCTACCTAAGATTCAGCCTAAGATGCTGTCAGCTGCCACCAGGTCCTCTTCAAGGGCAGGTGACAGTCCTCAGCTCGGATTGAAAAAAGGAGGTCAGAGCACACAAATCCAATCCTAAGAAAAGGCAAAGCGAACATTTGCACAGACTCACCCTGCTGGTATAGATAGGGCTCAAATTGTACTCCTCAGGGCGTTCTTCTACCAAACGCCGCAGAGCGGTCGCTGCTGCAGCGTTCCGGTCCCCTGAATCTCTCAGCTCCTCAAAGAAAAGCTTCTGGAGGGATGCCACTGCTTTGGCCTTCTTCCTAGGAATTGCCGGGCACGTTGTGAAAATCCAGACTCAGTATGCCGGTCGGTGTGTTTTGTGAGACCTCTCAGCTATGTTTCTAGCATGCAGGCATCTAACATTCTCTAGCATCAAAGCCTTCTACCGACGTGGTGGACCAAGAGTTGATCTCACACATCATGCCACGCCATGTTGAAAACCAAGCATCTGCACTCTTTCGTCAACGCTTTCCCGCTGCACTTCCGGCTTCCCTGCAAGCTCCTCTGCCAATGCCTTACCATCTAAGACCTGCACTCATAGCTGGCGATGCTGGAAACTCGCAGCTTTCCGGTTAAGGATCAGCGGAATTACTGGGGCCAGGCGTCTAACTTCAGAATGTAAGATTGAGCCCCGAAATTGAGCTGCGATCTGTGATGCGATGGGAATGTAGATCCCTGATGATCCCCCTGTACATCAAAAGTTCTCTCTCCGAGTGATGAGACCAGCCTTGGCTTTCGCCTTCGCCTTCAAAGCATCAGCATCTGCATTGGACGCAACGGAGGGCGTCACTTCAAAGCTAGCAGAGGACGAAAGACCTGACACAGTTCGATGACGTAAACTTGACGAGGTTAGAAACTTTGTTTGGTCTGACCTGCCTTCGCCAACTCGAATCATTGCATCATATTGCATCCCCAAACTCCCGACTACTGACTACGACAAGGCAAATGACATCAGTCTGTGAAAAACGAATCATCATGGCTGTCTGAAGGTATGGGTTTTAGCTCCTTGGCCATGTGCGCATGCCTTGCAGTGGGTCAAGTCTGTGAGGTTCTGGTCTTCGGCGTGCCAAAACACCCGAGGCGGACAAAACGGAAGAAGATTTGCATGCCTCAGATGAAACAGCAGGCCTGTGTACGTGAAGCCAGGCGTTGCTGTGCCATCTGGGCACACAGCTCCACCAAAAACACTCAGGAATACTCAGGGCACACTTCAGTGATCTTCAGTGCAACTTAGATACAGGAACGTCCCCTGGCACAGGCGAACGACTCAAAGGAGGCAATCTTGCCTTGCTTTGCTGTGAGTCATGAGACCAAGAGGACCTCATTTGGATTCCTCTGATCCTGAAGGTGCTTATCTTTGAGCCGAAACACACCGATATGGCGGGATGTCAAGCTTGAAGGTTGCACTTCTCACGACAGTCTAAGCTTTGGTGGTACAGTCTCTCCGTGCAGGTTCAATGTCGCTTTGCACCAAGTTGCTCGGGAGCTGCTCGTGATGGTGGCTGCCACGTTTGTGGCCTTGAGGGGAGTCTTGGGAGCCACAGAATCCATGTGCAGTGCGCAGTCGCACCCTTCCAAGCCATAATTAAGAATGACCAAGGCTTTGTTCAAAAACAACTCCTGGAGATCCTCGGGTCGGTCAAAACCAAAGCAGCTCCTCTCGCTCCAACATGCACCAGCTCTCAGCTCTTTGGCCCGACCCTCCGACCCCCGGCTGCGGAAGTGCCGCCGCGGCACTCCGAGCGCTCGGCACCTGACGTCGGAGACGAGAACGAACGGCGGCGACAGCGACGTGAGTTCCTGGGTCATGTTGGAGTGAAAGGAACCACGGAGGCAATCGCCAGTCACTAGTCGGTTGGAGACCATTGCTATTAGTACAAAAGGGCCAGAAAGGGCCGGCCCTCCTGAAAGGGAGGAAAAAACGTGGAGAATCGGTGCTGTTGGTACATTCGTCCTGCTTGTGTCTCAGTGCAAGGATGGCTGGCCTCAACTGGCGTCCCGGCGTGCGACATGACACTCACCACACTTTGACAAGAGCTTCTTTCAGCAGTTTGGGTTGGGATCACTACCACTCGGAACCATGCAAAACCCTTTTTCCTCTTCGGCATCCGATCATGTGTCACAGGTTCTTTCGCCAAGAGACGGGGTTGGTAAACCATAAGGTCAATGTCACCTCGGCTTCAGGGCACGTCGCCAAGATTCAGAATGGTGAACCCGATCTTCAGTCCCACGATTAACCCGGGAAAGTGAAGGCCAATGCCCCTTTGTTCTTTGCTGCTACCGTTGTTGCTTTGTTGGGGCGAATGGCTGAACAATGTGCCGAGCTGCCTGTCTTCAGGAGTTGATCTTGTAAAACCTTGTTTTCTTGGTCCAACGCCACGATCCGTCGTGACAAAGCTTCACACCTCAGCAGTGCTCTCGAACTCGAGCGTTCTCGTCGGCCCAGTGTTCCAAAGAAGGTCATTTATGTTCAATGAAAGCGACTACGACTACGATTGCATCAAGCATTTGCACATTGACCTTTCCCGTTTGGAACGTTCTGGATCTGACTAGATAACTTGACCTTCTGAGCCTCCATGACACATTGGCCAGGTCACTCTTCCATCAAGAGCTCCGCAAAGGGTTCATCCTCCTGATCCTGAAGGCGTTTCTTATGTCATGCCTTTTTTTCCAACTCAAGCCGAATCAGCTTAGCTTTTCATCTCCTGGGCCCCCTTTTCCAACTCCGCACGGATGACCTGCACTTTGGCCGCAGCCTGCACGGTTCGGTGCGCGGATCCCGCGCGGCTGGCGTGGCGCATGGTGCGCCTTGTGAAGCAAATGCCCTTCATGACGCATGGTGCGCTTCATGTTCAATCGCTCCACTCGGCTTCGCCGCTGAATCAGCTCAATCAGCTGGTCAGCTGGAACAGATGTGGACCTGGCATGGCGTCTGTGGGAAAGGAAGCTTGCCACCCCTGGGCCACCATATCAGTTCAAGGGGCACCAAAGCTGCAAGTCTGATGTGCACCGCATGCAGATTCCAATGGCAAGATTTTGAGCATGGGTAGGAGGGTTCAAAGGGTCCCCATCACCGAGGCCGTGACAAATGCTGCAGCTGCGCATCTAATTTTCCAAGCTCGCTTTCCTGGCTCTTTCCAACAAAGGCTTCAAGTCTGCTTGCACCCTGCCCCGTCATAGAGACACTGGCACAAAAGGAGTCGTTACCTGCATGGACCTCTCATGCTTTCAGAACATTTCATGGAAGCATTCAAGTGAAGTGGCCATCTTGCTCACATCCACCAAACCATCTCGCTCGTATTTGCCTCGCTGCGTGGCTTTCACAAATTTGAAGTTGAATTTTGCCTTTCAGTTCTCTACTTGAGTCCAAGACACGCATCTCATGTTGCAAATCGCCTTGTGCTTTGAGCATTTTCCTCTTCCAGTTAAACATCTTCTTCGTATACTCGTCATGCTCCTTAGGAAGCCGTTGGAATCCATACAGGGTGGCAACACTCTTGCTTTGTCAGATCCAATTTGGAGGAATTTGGGCAGGTCTCGGTAGGTCGGCCTCTCCCAAAACCATCCAAACGCCAGAAGAAAAGGTGGCCGGTCAAGAGATATGCTATTTTGCTGGGTGCAACTGTACAGCAGTGAGACCCTAAGAGCATCCCTCACATAGACGGAAACAAGAATCCGTGGGTCTCATCCATATATTGACAAACTGATCCAATAAAATAAATCCCAAATCTCCCCCAACATCCCAAAACCACAAAACAATAATCTCTCACACTGTCACACCGATCCAATCCATGGCATTCACCGGAATTTCATTCCAAGCCACATCGATGGCTTTCATCATCTGCCGTGCCTCCCCATTGGCATCCTCACAGCGCCGCGCAGACCGGGCGATCTCCTCGCCCAGGAGGCGCTGCCGCTCGCGTCCCTGTGAAACAGGCAGGGTAAACCGGCCCGAACCGGGCCCGGGTAGGCAAGAGCTTCTTTGATCGTTTATGAAGCTGATCGTTTATGATGGTCTATGTGGTCTTCTTTAGATATGTTCATGATACATCATGAAGTTTATGACCATGTGTTGTTAACATGCGATTCTGTGATGGTGTGTAATGTGTACTTTGCAAACCTGGCACTCAAATCTCTGTGGGTGCTCCGTGTGTCTCGATCACCGTTCGACCAGACCTGCGGGGCCCGTGGGCCTCGGAGACATTTTCCCAGACTTGTCGGTTCGAAGACAGCGAAGCACAAAGGCGATGAAGCTCCTGACCGCGCACCGCGCGCGACGCACAGCGCCACAGCGCTTGGCACAACCTCTTGGCAAGTTTCCCTAAAAATCTAGAAACCAAATCATTAGTGCTCGCGCTTCTTCAAGGAAGCTTCCCCTGCCGCCTTTAGGGCGGCGGGAGGAGCTTCCTTGAAGAAGCGCCAGCTATCCTGGGTCCCAAGTAGTAGCTTACTTGTAGCTACTAGCTACCTCTAGCTACTACCATTACCTAGCTACTACTACCTACCTATCTCCTAGCGGCCTACCCCCCCACCAAAGAAGAAACGAAGCGATAAAGCCCCGTCCTCGTCATAGTATTGCTGAAGCTGCTGGCATTTTAAGTCGTAAAAGGTGTGGATCCTGACCGAATGGTCCAATGTGCTGGTCCGATCGGATCTTCACGTCTTGTTTTCGTTTTGTTTTTTAGTAGGTAGGTAGGTAGGTAGGCAGGCAGGCAGGCAGGCAGGCAGGCAGGCAGGCAGGTAGGTAGGTAGGTAGGTAGGTGGGTGGGTAGGTAGGTAGTAGCTAGAGGTAGTAGGCGTGGAGGGGGTAGGCCGAGGTAGCTAGTAGTAGCTAGGTAGATACTACCTAGGACGCAGGATAGCTCGCGCTTCTTCAAGGAAGCTCCTCCCGCCGCCCTAAAGGCGGCAGGGGAAGCTTCCTTGAAGAAGCGCGAGCACTAATGATTTGGTTTCTAGATTTTTAGGGAAACTTAAGCTAAAGAAACTGCTCCAAACATTCAGGCCTGGTGCCCGCTGCATGCATCTGTGCAATCTCCTGATGCATCTCCTGGATGGCTTCGCAGCTTCGATCAGATGGCTCAACAAACCTGGCCGCCTCGCCTCGAGTGCCGCTTTCCGCTGAACTTGCGACCCAGGCTGCAGTTCTGGCCTGCCTGGGCCTGGCACGGCCAAAAAGAAAACTGCGCTCCGAGGCTCTGGTCAAACCAACCAAACTAATAAGGTCAACGAACACTTCTTCTCCCGTCTGCGCCTATGATGGGCGCCTCCACATAGGACTCAGAGGGAGCTTCACCATCAAAGGTTTTGACCGCCGACTGTCGAAGACACCATGGAAATGAGGTTTTCCCCAGTTCAAGTGAGTCTCTGATTGCCGCGGCTCATCACTCTATAACTTCCAATCAGAACAGCTGGCAACGAAATCAATACATGTAGCACTTCTCCAGCCTGTGGCTGGACAGGCTCCGGCTGCTTCAACGTGGAATTCGCCTCCCAGAGAGAACCGATGCACCTACAAACGCCTACGCAGCCTGCAAGGACGTGTAAGCATGCACGCACACAATGACGGTCCAGTATGCCGCTTTAGTTCTTGGACATGTCCGAGAACCCGAACCCAGTGCCGTGCAGGGGCCAGCAGCATTAAGGAACAAGAGTATGTTGAGAAATGTTTTTCAAAAATCTGGTCTAACCAGCTGTTGTGGATCAATTACAGTAAGCTCGTCTCTACCACCGTCTGCGCCACCATGCCTGCTCGTCCTTCTCCTAAGCTTTGGCACGATGTGTTGCCATGCGGTTGCACCACCCCTTCTCAATCTGACTACTATATAAATCGGCCCGGATTCGTGGCAGCAACTTACGAACTTTACACGAGTTGTGGCTTTTGTTCGAAAGCAACACTGCAGAACAGGTTCCGTGCTAGTGGGGGGGTGGATGATGGCATAGAGTTCATAGGGGGGTCATGTCATCTTGCCCAAGAGGCGGAGACATCCCGCTCGATTTTCTTCATTGCATTCTGCAGTGCCAAGGTTGCTATCGGCATCCTGGGTGAAACGGACGCACATCTGTCGACCAAAACAAGATCACCAGTTCTTCACTAAAACCGAAAAAAAATTAAGAAAGGAGAAGAGAAAAGAGGAAAGAACTAAGGAAAAAGACTTGGACAAAAAGCTCTCGACTGTTTGACTTTTCGATTTTTTGGCAATTTAAATGTTAGAGGTAGATTGAACGGGTTTGGGGGTTTGGGGTGCCAACATGTCAACCCAAGAAGTTGAGAACTCAAATAGATCTATCTTCCTTCTGAGGGCTGGATTCCGAACACCTATGCACAAACTGGCTCAATGGTAAGAGCTGGTCTATTGGGCTGATAGCATGGCAAGTTTTGCAGTTGTAAGCATACATCAAACATGGCAAGCAAAGCCCAAAGCCAAATGTATAATCAAATAATGTTTTTAATGGGCGAGGAGCTTCTGCAACTGGCTTCCCATCAGCTGCTTAAGCTTTCGCATTTCTGACTGGACTCCCTGGCACATTCAAAGTAAAACCATGGCTGGACTCTCTTCCAAGTCACAGTTCTAAAGCTGAGACTGCAGTCTGCATGGTAGGCTGGTGCTGGCACCAATTGAAGTAACTTCTGTACTTGCCCAATTCATGTGCCACAGGCAGGGGCATATTGTCTTATGCCGCACCCATGTCCCAGCTGCCGACCTCGAACATTTCGTGACGGTACTCGCTGAAGCAGCTCTGAGAGTAGCTGAGCGCATTGTCCAAGGACCCCAACTTCTGGCGACAGGCAAGGCTAGGCATAGCCATGGTGAACAAAGCGCATATTCTCAATCAAAACCGCAAAATCCCAGAGGGGAGACCAACTTTCATAATTTTTCCTCTGCACAGGTGATTATACTCATGGACGCCTTTTCCATTTCGCCCTCTCTCTCTCTCTCTCTGTCTTTCCCTCGCTACCTCTCCCTCTCCCTCTCCCACTCCCTCTCCCTTTTCTTTTTCTCGGTCCTTTTGCTTCTGCATGGCTCTCTAGCCGCGGCCTCCAGGCCAAAAGCGGCGCTAGCCAAGGATCGTTCGCCTTGCAGCCTCAACCCTCTAGGGAAAATCCTAGCAAGCATCCATCTCCATGTAGCGAATCTCATAGCCCCCTTAGCTATCTGAGCTCTGCGGTTTGAAGTGCAGTTTCAATTGCCCACGCTTGCTGTCACAACCATTGGACATCCATAGTTGAACACGGCCGTCTTGTTCTTTGGAGGTGCGTCCGCAACGCTGACACTCAAGCCAGACTCCCCTCCTCCAAACATCATGGGTGGTATGCACACGCGTTCTGAGGTTCAACCCATCTTCATCTAGCCGACCAAAACGACACTCAGAGCTTTTCAACTTCTCGAGGACAGCCTTGCCACTGCGAAGAGGGATCTTGGCCCAGCAGCGGCTGCATCCAAAAGTGGTCGCCCGCGTCTCCCATTTGTGCCCTGGTTGGTCGTCCATCAAAGCCTCAGTGTCTTGCACCAATTCAGCCATCGTTTGTTTCAAGGTCTTTGAGACCGCACCGGGGCAAACCGTAGCTTGTTTGGTGCTTATCTCACTGTGTGTATACTGCAGGCCTTGATCCTTTTGCCACAGTGTTCACAGACCGCTCCTTGGCGATGATGCTGCCACTTGCGTTGCCCTTCAACCGGGGTTTGGTGCACCAGCTGATTGAACAACTCAATTGGGCTTTGCCGGACGGACCTTGTACTCAGTCTCAACCTTCTCCAGCTGACCATGCATGAAGTGGTCATGGTCCCCAAAGATGGCGCTGATCCGGCCGGCAGCAACCTCATAGATCTGTTGGCGCTTCAAATCTGCAGCCTTGAGCTCAGCTTCCAATGCACCCGGAGCT